TTGAGAATATGATTCTATTGTAACCCTAGAAGTTAAACTAATTCGACACGTGATTTAGTTTACATCTAGATTAATACCAGGTTTAAAGGTCATATTTGATTCATGCCCATCAGTATTATTTTAGTTTGTTTAAATTCTCTTGTTACTGTATATTTAAATATTATATTGTCATTTTTATTTATATTTTATATTTATATTTTTAATGAAACTGTTATATGACTCCCACTATAGAAGACGGACATTTTCCCTTGTTGTATTTATATCTATATTGTAATACTCATGTTGACATTCTTTTTACATGATTCATGCTACAGAGTAATTGACATCTGCTGTTTTGTAGCACTGGAAAATAAATAAATAAAATAAAATGGAATAAATTCGGGAGAACAAAAACGTAAATAAATGTACCCTAAGTTTAATTCACCGTTCAACTTAACCAAGTTTAAATGGGGTGGGGAAACCAGCCCAGGTTAAGATTATCATTAACTAAAGAGGGAAAGTTGTTAAAACACAGATGACTGAATTCCTGAATTATTTTGTATTTGTATACGATATACCTTTTATTTGTAGATTTAATATTCTTTTGTAACAAAATTCCACACAGTTATTGGTTATTACCTTCCGTTTGTCGCAAACCTCTTGCAGCTCAGGTTTACTGCCCCAACGTTCATAAAAGCGAAGTGTGGTTCATAAAACGAAGTTTTAAAATGCCACTTTTATTTGTATACCTAGATATATTATGGATAATTGGGATTGGACAATATTATTCTAAAGACAGTTTTTGAAGCTTAAATTTCAAAAAAAGGCATTTATAAATGGTATGTGATTTTAGATTGTAACAAATTATAAAATAGTTAGATAATACCATTTCCATCTCATGTAGATAATATACTCTATAAAGGTAAACCAACAACCTCACAAAACTTAAAACTAGCGAACCTGGTACACGTAATCGTGTGCAATCTAGACATAGGAGAAGGAGAAATTGTATTGACCTTTTTTATTTGGCGTTGTATGGTTTCTTGGTTTTGTTATTAAAGGTGGAGATGGTAAAAGGCCCAATCGAGTTCGCAGTTTACGGATTATGCAGTAATTTTTATGAGAAAGTCAGAATTTTTTAAAATAATTAATGATAACCTAAATGATAAACCAAAGCCCCTAGTTCCCACCACCACCTCTTGCTTAAAGTCTGGGACTTATTTGCTAGGCCAACTCCCCATGAAAAATCGTCTCTCTTCTTAAGCATCGGCCACTTCGATCCTCGTTCAGTCATACTGTGTCCAAAACCCTAACAGCATAGCTCCCTTCCCCCTTGAGCAATAGGGATCATTGGGACTCGCTCTAACCTTTCCTCTCCCCTTCATGGGGAAGTTTTCATTCCTTTTCTTTCTTTGTTTTTGTTTCTTTCTTTTTCCAATTCAAAAGTCTGTATGTATCCTTGGTTCTTCCTATTTTCATAGCTACTTTACTAAATGTCTCAATTGTTTCTCTGTCTCTCATAAAGTTTTTTTTTTTCATATCTAGACCATTCCTATTAAAGACTTCTTTCTGTTCTCTCCTATTTCCCTCCTGAAGTGGACAATTCAACACTACGTATCTCGTGGTCTATATTGTTTTGCGTAGCTGTATACCGTACTTCCTCTTCCACCAAGTTAAATCTCCATATATTCATCTTGAAATTTGTCATGTCCTGTGACAAACTGTGTTCAACAATGGCCATCTCCCAAACTTCTTCCAGTCTCTTTCTGATGTTTGGCATATATCCGAACGTTTCCGCCCTTTCTTTCTCATTTGCTCCCAGCGCATTTGCCACTCATCTAATGCTTCCTTTCTTCTAGCACTCTTGCTTTTCAAAGTAGTCCCACCCGCGGCCTTGTCTTCAAAAATCCTAATCCTTTGTTCAATGAGCAGGTTGAGTGGCATAGCTCCGGTCAAAACTCTAATCGTATCATGCGATACTGTGTTGTATGATTTTCCCTAATTTCAACAAAACTCTTCTTTGCATTCTCAAAAATTTCCTTTTCAATCTTATCTTCCTAGCATCTAATCTTACCCCATAACTCGCATCCGTAAAGCATTGCTGGTTCAACATCCTTTGTACAGCGTCATTAAATGTTTCCCAGTCATGCCTCTATTGGCTATGGCCTGTCCTGTAAATTTCAAGAAGAATCATTTCATTTTTTGCAAATTTCCTCCACATGGTTTTCGAAAGGCATTCCTTTATCTACAGTCACTCTTTAATCAAGCCTGACAACATATAAAGATTCCTGATTAACACAACAATGTTGTTTTCCCCAATTTTTGGGACCCGCCTATCCTACCTTCCAATATGATCAAATATTCATTTTGGAGATGAAAAACATGTTTAAAACTAATCCTAATAACTTCTGAACATTATTTTTGTGCACATATCATAAATAATCATACAGAAGAATGCAGGGGCCATCCCTTACAATTGATAAAAATTGATAAAAAAATTATTGTTCCTTCGATATTGATATTCTACACTCATTAAATTATATCCTGTTATTTAGTTTCAGTAAAACAAAGATCTTAAAAATTATAACAATTGGTGTAACTGCTGTACTGCCAGTTGACTTTTAAATCCATAGAACCTTTATAAACGTGTTTTGCAGTTTAGTATTTATTTTTAAAACACAAACAGATTGTACTCTTTACAACAAATCTAATAAATACTTATAGCTCATGTTTCCATTAATTTCAATTTAGTATAAACAGCGGTTTCAAATCTATATATCTAATTCCGTAAGCCCAAAATTTTACAATGAAATTGTAAGTGAACGGGAGGCCATAGAAAGCTGGAAGAGGTGTCATTTTAAAGGTCTGGGCATGAAATTTTGGAGAAAATTATTTATTTTTCTTAATTATGCACCAAATGGTTGTTACAGAACTAAATAATTCACATTTAAATAGTATGGGAATCGAATTTTATGACTTTTAGTGTAAAAACAGATGTGATTATATAAATTGAAAGAATTATAACCACACCTTAAAGTGCATTATTTTGTTATTGTAAAAATTTTAGTAAAGTGAAAATTAGATAAGCTCTTTTGAACAAAAAATTTGACACTTTTAAACTTCCTACTTTACAATGGATTGTTCTTTTACTCAGTTGCAATGTATGATGTCGAAGACCACCAAGCAGAGGTAGGCCGCCACGCAGAGGTATTGTTCCTCGAAATGAGAACAACGCACGTGATTTGGCGCGATATTAATGGAAGAAGAATACATTAGCATCCGGATGAACATGAAGTTATTCCTGTGTATAGAATACCACTTTTAAATGAGATTGCATTCCACAGCGTAGGACCAATGAACAATTAGTTGCATTGCACTTCATGGATGAACCGACAAGTGGTCACTACGACTCTTGCTGCCACAATGGCCTAATACACCCTACACAGCCTCAAAATAACAATGAGCTGCAATAACTATTTAATAATGCCCATTTTATGAAACATATAAGACAGTACAATAGCGCTATGGCATTTGCATCCCTTTCGGCTACAAAAAAAGAAGTACCGGGTAACGGTATGTTTATTAAACATATTATAATAACAAAAATGTTAAACGATAATTCAAGATAGGGTAACCCATGAGACTAATAATTTGTACAAAATAATTACTAGTCTCTATATATAAAAGGCAAAGCCCTCACTGACTGACTGACTCACTCACTCACTCATCACTAATTCTCCCACTTCCCATTTACCTAGGAGGCTGAAATTCGGTAAACCGATTATTTGGGCATTAAATAGGAAAACTAAGTAGTTTTTATTCTGATCGGGCTTTCGGGCTCCGCCCCAGTGGCTCTGGAGTTTCCCATGTTAACCTTATGATTTTTCATATTTAAAGGAATTTCTTAACAGCTGTTTAAATTAAACAAGTTGGTTCTGTTCTATGATGTTCAATAGCATTAAAGTTACAAGAATTACCAACAGGGTGCAGCACAATTAGTTTTTTAAATTTATGACTACAGGCAATTTGCAACCAAAAGGTGAGTGAGCGTAGCGAACGAACTTCAACCTGGAAGCGAGTTAGCGTAGCGAACGAGCCAACCTGAAGGCAAGTGAGCGGAGCGAACGAGCTCCAACCTAAAGGTGAGTGAGCGTAGCGAACGAACTTCAACCAGGACGTGATTGAGCCATGCGAACGAGCTCACTTGCGAAGTTAAACGGGGCAAAGCCCGCGGGTACAGCTATATATATATATATATATATAGGGGCTATTGCCAAAAGATCCCATGTTAACCTTTTGAGTACTCATATTTAAATGGAATTAATGAATCTTAACAGCTGTTTCAATTAAACAAGTTGGTTCTGTTCTATGATGTGCAATAGCATTAAAGTTACAAGGATTACCAACAGGGTGCAGCACTATTATTTTTTTATTTTATGACAACAGCTAATTTGCAACCAAAAGGTGAGTGAGCGTAGCGAACGAACTTCAACCTGGAGGCGAGTTAGCGTAGCGAACGAACTTCAACCAGGACGTGATTGAGCCATGCGAACGAGCTCACTTATGAAGTAAAACGGGGCAAAGCCCGCGGGTACAGCTATATATATATATATAGGGGCTATTGCCCATACAAGCCACTAGTATTAATGTAAATTTAAAATTATTCATCTGTTCAATGTAAACAAACATCTTCTCCTTAAGAATAAAATGGGAAGTTTGAAGGGCACTGGGGTTGAGCCCTGATGCAATTTGAAACATTTTTTGTCTGATGGCAAATTTACATGCCGCAACCTATCCATTGACACGTTAAACATGGTCTTTGGATGCATGGCAGCTTCAACACAATTATCACGAAATTCATGTTGGCCAATTAAATATACAATAGATGTGATTGGATTTGCAGGTTATAAAAATAAATACTAATAGGCTAGACCAAAAGACCAGAATTGTGGTACTGTATTAGGATTAAGGTTATTTGAGTGTATTGAAAATCTATAATATATTTTAAAATACAGTCTTACAGGCCTTTAAGAGAAGCAAGTCCGGTAAATGATCCATTGACAAGGTGCGTCAGAAGGTTGTCATGAAGATCGAGAACTGAGAGTTGCCACAGAGTAGAGAATACTCCAGGAGGCAGCTCTGACAGGCCATTAGCACTGAGGTCTCTGTAAACACACAATAAAGTATAAGAACAGTACAGACAGTCACCATTAATATCTTGAACAGAAAGTTTCCACTCAGGAATAAGAACATTGTAAGAAGCAGCTCCAGGAAGTTGTCGTAAATATCTTTCTAACCAATCCAAGATAGTCAAAAGGGAGAAATTACATAGATTCATAATCATAGTCTAAGACAGATTGAAGATAAATGATAGCAAAGAGAGAGAGACAGCTGCGTTATTAGTTGTAAAATATCTCTTTAGCTATGAATATACTTTCTAGGGAAATGTTTTTCCCATTGCTGGTGTCCTAATATCATGAAATTAAACTTATTATTTTTATTCACAAAATCGGTGTTTACATTGCCTTGAATATGAGTAAAAAGGGAAATGTTATTTACTTTAACTAAAAAATTCAAATTGTACAAGAAACTGATTTATAGAGGATAAAAATGTCCTTTAGTTGACTCTCAAGAGAGTATCACATAAAAGATAAAGAAAATCACTTTGCTGGTCTTTATCTTTGAAACCATTCATTTGAACCTCTTTGGCGTCATCGTTTCCTGACAGACAGCAAGCAATGAGGTTCATTTCAGTTTAAACCTTAATAAAGCCCAAGAACTTCAAGAAGCATACAATCCCTTTAACATGTCCAGGCATTCTGATAATTTATAGAATATTAATTTACGAATATCAAAATCATAGAAGGTATGTCTCTAAGTAAGCCACTTGTATTATGTAAACACTTAAATTTACTTTACAAAATTTGGTAGCACATGCACAAGTGTCTAGTACAATAAAATCAATGACGTTAACTACAGACGTTAACTTATATTTAGACCTATAAAAGAAACAATCGGCGGTCCTTGGTCCTCCCAGCCTTAAAATATTGCTTTACTGCATATGGAAACAGCATCTCTAAGGAGGATATGGCAAGGGTTCAAAGAATACAAAATTCTGCCTTAAGGTTAATTTTTGGACTTATCGTTTTGAAAACGTGTCCTCCTTCCGAGATGCTGCAAAGCTCGTCCCAATGGATGACATGTGTAGAAAGCTGACCTGCTGCCTGGTCTACAAAGTGCTAAAGCTGGGAGAGCATCACTACCTCAGATAGAGGCAAGTACAGGGAGGAGACCTGTCTGCTTAGTGCTCATTCCAACCTACCGCTGGCTTCACTTTCCTAAAGTGAGGCTTGAAGTTGGAAGAAAGTCATTTTCTTATTTTGGCCCGCAGTTGTATAATGACCTCCCTCAAGACATAAAGACCTCAAAATCCTATGGTTCATTCAGGCCCACAGTAAAAAAAATTTAACTGTAAATGATTTTCACATTATTTTTTTAGTGAACTTCCCATATAGGGAATAAGCTATTACCGTAGGTCTCATGGCAAGACCTAGACCCGGGACCGATTTACTTTTACGTGTTGAGGTCCCCAGAGGCCAAAAACACCATCCGTTCAAATTCGTATATATATGTAAGTGTGTATCCGTTAGCGCAATACTCGTGCATAAATGACCAAATTTTGATGAAATTTTGTACAAACGTGTAAACATACGTTTATTCGAACGAGTTCGCGAACCAGCATAATCGGACGGGGGTTTATCAGGGGTTTTATGGGGGTAAAAACTTATTAATTTTACAACTAACACATTTCATAATTTCTCTTCAAACCATTTTGTAGAGCTTAAAACAAGAAATAACCTGGTATATTGAAGCGTTGTTGTTTGACCAACGGTTACGGAGATAATTAAAAAAATTCTAAATTTAAAATTCCAATGTTATTCTTATGGAGAATAAATCAACTGTTGTAGTGTGCTTGTTTATGGATATATTTTAATCAAATTTGGCAATTCTGTTAATTTCATAATAAGCTATCAACATTTCAATAAAAAAACACACCTCAATATTTTCCCCGCAGCAGCGCCTTAGTACTCACTAAAATTAATTTTATTTAAATAGAAGATAAATCTGACAATTTTTAGGGAATATTTTAGTACGAATCAATCCGGGTAAATGGAAATTCGCTTAGTCTGGAGGTTTACTGCGGCAGGGGTATTTTAATTATATATGTAAGGATAGTTTGGATTTAGTTTTGACTTGAGTAAGTTTAAAAATCGCAAATACATGAAACTTGCGTATGAATAAAGGTATTTTTATTTATTTAGAATATTTTACTTTTTTCGAAAGTATTACTCACTACAAGGAAATAATAAACAAGTCTTTTCCACTTGTTTCAGGAGAGCCATGCATTCAGATGAAAAGTGGGAGCAGTTTTATTACAGAGCTGCTGTGAAAAATGACGTTGAGTCAAGTTAGCATATTTCCTTTCTTATTTGCATGAATCTCCATTATAAGAAGTGGAATTCCTTTTAGATTATGCACGTTTAGGCCTAAAAGCACGCATCTTGAAAATACACATCATAAGGCACGAGTTAAAATAGCAGTTATAATATTGTGAATATGCTGAGGGTGTAACTAAAACAATAGAAATATACATATCAATATTTTATATACATCAATATTCACTAATATACTGACCACCCAAATGACGAAAATTAATTATTTTTTTAGTTTATAGTTTTTTAATGTATCCGATTTTAATAAACTATACTCTTCCTAAAAGAATATTTTATCTAAATCTAAATCTATCTAAATATAAAAAACATCGAAAATGGCTAAAAGTTTATAATAATGAGATTTTAGTACGCAGTGTCAAGAAATAAAAACAATCTAAAATTTGCTGTTTTCGTAAGAAGTGAGAAATAATGATATATCCGAATTGCGTATTTTAATCGCAATTTGCCTTCATAATTTTACCTTAAAATGTTTGACATTGACTACCAAACACCCTGTATAGGCCTAACATTTTTAAACAGGATTGTTGCGACGCGTTACTGGGATCGCGGAGAGTCGGAACGATTGGATCGTGGAACCCGCACCGACGGCACGGCGCATCGTCGAGAACCACATAATGTTTTTCGCTACTGTATAATAATAGTTTGCGGTAAAAGCCTCTAAGATTTCTGTTGCTAAATACTCTTGAGTTTATTGTACGATCGATCAATGAGACATATTTATCCAAATGTCCTTTCTTTCCTTTGTGTCGACGCCAGTAGCATTTTTACACAACAGACAATGTATAATGTTGAAATAACGAATTTAGGGAAATCTGCTGTTGACGATATGCCGGGAATTGAACCCGTCCCTCCATCACCGAAGTCTGAGTCGCTAACCACTAGGACAGCAACACACGTTAGCAGGATTTTCTTGTGTACTGTAATTTGTTTTTTGCTAGTATACTGTAGATGTTTTGTTATGAGCTTATGTTATGATTCTTTTGTGTACATTTTCATAAAACCATAATAGCTACTTGGCAGCTCATAATGGCAATGTAAAAAAATTTAAATTTCATAAAAAATTTGTCAGGAAAAGCTAATTTCCCCGCAAATGCAATGTATAACATTACAGCATAACGATTTTGTTCCGATTTTATATAAAATTTTCAACCATCTATCTATATATTAATAGGCAAGCATGTTTCTTTAAAACCTTTTTTCTCAGCTCGTGTGCATCGTAGGGAAAATCTACGCATACCGTTAGAAAGCTATTTTCCTGTAGGTGTGCACAATCCCTTTATAAATTAAAATAGGCTCAAAGATAAGCACAAAAAATTAGTTTAAAAATTTGAAAAAATTAACATGGATTTTATGGGTTGCCATGCTGGTTACGAAATAACAACGAAATATAAACAGAAAATCAAAACAAATGGAAGAAACTCAAATCACATGTTTTATTTACAGTGTGGGGAGAAAATAGAGAAGTCTGTACATTACATATTTTTGGTCGAGTTTCGACCACTGGACGACCTCTCGTAATTAATTAATATCCAATCATAATTAAATCCAAGTTAACAATAAATTAATAATATAAATATTTGCAGGTACTTACAAGTAGATAAGCCGGTCCAGGTGTATGAATGTTTGATTGTTGATGCTTTTACTAAGGTCGTTGCTTCCCAAATAACTAAAACAAAAACATGAACTACAGCATAATGTCTTATTTATACTAACCAATTTATTTATATTTTATAAGACTTTATGTATAGATACAGTTGATCCTTATCACTTAAAATACGTATTCTCACTCATTTTAGAGTAAAATTTAAGTGCATTTTTTAATAGATTGTCACTCACACAAAGTGTTCATTTAATACGAACTCGGTTGGAGCGCAATGTATTATCAGTAATCAACTAATTACTATTGCAGTTTAACTAATAGGTAACTAATATTACTAATATGCATTTAAACAAAAATGTATTTGTTTTACCCGTAGGTTGATCAAAGGTTTAATTTGTTGGATGCTTCTGTAATTGAAACACCACCTTTTTGCCATTCAATCAAGATAAAAACAACAGAGAACTGACCAAACAATACTACAAATAATTCACACCCAAATAAATAAAGCCAGTACAATCCAAATGTAGCTTGAATGTGTGATTCGTTAAGATTCGCATATTCAATGTAGTGTGCTGCAGGCGCTATATAACTTAAGTTTCCAAGCTCCTAACAATGTATTTTTCCTACAGTTACCTAACAATGTACATGTTCTCAGTTCTCTCACTGATTTGAGAAAGCAAAGTGGCCAATTCGCTCATCAGTGAGACAATGTTAACATTGTCTGACTCTAATTACTTTGTCTCACTCCAGATTTGCAACGTGAAGGCACGAAATAGTGAGCGCCTAACATGCAGGCAACGTCGTATGCGCGCGAAATACGTTGGCAGCACTGGCTGTAAATCAGCTGGTCAGCTGTTGTACTGTTGTATTTGTCACTTCACATTAAATTGTATATTAAAAGTTCACTTCTGTGTAAAAATAGGTTATGTTTCTTCACCAATTTATTTGTTTTATGGTAACTGTAGGAAAAGTATAATGTGCAACTCGAGTTCAAAGTACAATTGCCTCACTCGAGAAACCATTCCTAACTCGCCTACGGCTCGTGAGTAAGGATTTCTCTCGAGTGAGTCAATTGCTCACTTTTCTCACTAGTTCCACAAATAACTATTAAATACAGTCTCGTATCGTAATAGTAGTTTACGCAACGACACGCAAGACTATTTACGCGAGTTGCTTACACTACTTTACCTACGGCAGTGTTTTAATTACTTATTGTCACTACTCATTACTTCTGAGAGAGGTTATGTTTTCATTTACAACCTCTCATTGCTACTGACAGTGATGCAACAAATTATTGTACCGAACATTAATTGCACCACTCATTAACAATTAAATTGGTCTGAACAGCTGATTAATTTAAAGTTCAAAGCATTACAATGTAACTTCTTTTCTCTCAATCCTTGAATCTCATTGGTCCGTTGCCCATGTTGTTAAATAAAAAAAGTAATTAAACAATGCTTTTGAGTAGATCTTTTCAACTCTAAGAACTCAACTGAAACGGCTCGTTTAAAAAACTATCGTAGGTAAAGTTAAGTTCGTTTTAGAACTAAAGGAGTTGCTTTTATTTTGTGATCGTTGTTAAGGAAATATAAGGTGTTAAAGGTTTTAAGCTTATTATTTTGTTTTATAATCCATCATATAACAACTTTCCAAGTTACGACTATTGGTAAAATAAAAATAACTGCCATTTATTGATGAAAACAAACACAAATTTGCAGAAGGTTATTGTAATTTGTTATGTTTGACGATATAGCCAGTGTTCTAATGTGTTTGGTGGTCTTTTGTAACTATTGAGCCTCGGATATGTGCTAGAAACGTGTCAAGGGGTAAGCCGATACAGCACTTGGATGAACTCTACTAATAAATATTTGTGTTGGCATCAGGACGCGAACTCACGACATCGCTGAGTCCGCTATAAGCTTGGTTAGGGGGGGACTTATCAAACATGATATAAAAAACAATCTCTATTTACAGAGTTGGTGTACTCACAACCAGGTGATCTCCTTCTCAGCATCCACGGGCACGATGGTGAGACTGCGCGCTGTACAGTTGATGTGGACATCTCTACAGTCGCACTGCGGAGCCAGCGACGAGCAAGCGAACGCTACCAACCAAACACATTGTATCTAGGAGGTTCGCTCAACAACCTACTTACTTGGGGGAAATGAAAGGAGCAAATGTTGAGTGAAAACTGTCCTCTAGGTTGAGGTGGTAAATTTATAGGGGAGTGGTCTTCGTAAAATGTGGTTAGATGTCTATGCTCGTTCGACAATTTATGATAAACCGATAAATAAATATTTATTCATCTATACCTTTATTAGTGAAATTAAGCTATCAGCCTTTGTATTTGCACTCAATTGTCTTTAATATATATTGTTTGATGTTCCTTTTAATGACAATTAATAAAGAATGATGATGATACAAAAAATCAGAGGCGTCTTTTCAACTAGTGTCAGCGAATCTGGCTTGTAAGGAAAAGTTGAGAATGGTAGAGTGTTTAATTTAGTTATTGAAGATTTATACTACAACTAGCAGAGTACCCGTTCTTCGTACGGGGTTGGCGTATAAGTATAAAATGTGTATTGCAGTTGTACTCTAGCTTTGCATTTGCAATGGGGGAGGAGAGAATTTGGTTCTTTATATTTATGGTATACTATATTATTATTAAAGGTTAAGGTTTAAAGGTATTATGTATTACTGATATAGTATAGTATAAACAGTATATTATTACACATCTACCATAGCCATTCTGTTCTACCACTCACCTAAACAATATAAAATACCACCGCCGCAGCAAACCTGCAGACTAAGCAAATTTCAACTTGTCTGATTACAATTTTACAAAAATATTTTCACAAATAAGACATATTTATTCCCAATTTAAATAACATTAGATTTTACGAGTAATTAGGTTTGCTGCTATGGGGAAGGTAAAAAGTGTTTTGAAAGAAATAAATTTGCCAAATTTTATCAATATATATCCATAAACAAGTAAATTCAATTGTTTTAATTTTATCCATAAGAATAATATGGGAATTTTAAATTCACTATTTTTAGATTTTATCCGTTACCGTTAGGCATACAACAGCACTTCAATATCCTAAATTATTTCTTTTTTTAAGCTCTACAATACGGTTTAAAAAGAAATTGCAAATTGCTCGAGTTATCGCGCTAAAGGACACACGCATATATATTAATTTGAACGGATGGTATTTTTGGCCTCCAGGGACCTCAAAACGAAACATAAATCGGTCCTTGGTCCAGGTCTTACCATGAGTACTACGGTAATAGCTTATTCCCCTATATGGGAAATTCGCTAAAAGTAAATTATCAAACATATACACATTATCACAAGTTATGATTTAAAAAAAACTTAAACATTACTGTAAACAATCCTACTTTGATAGTTCTCATTGTGTATCACAGCTTTTTGACGCTGCTTACTTCAAATTAGCTGTTATCATAATTGCAAAAAATATAATATAGTCTATTTGCCAAAAGGCATTTTTCACCCAAACCTGAAAGTAAGGTCCACCCAATGTTTTTTAGTGTTTTCTGTTTCTTTAAGACCTACATATATAAAATCTACAGGGTGCCACTTTGTCACCCTTGAGCAATTTAAATATTCAAAATGGCGGCCAAGATGGCTTAAAACTGTATATTTGCTGTATCTTTCCCTATAGAAGAGACAGGATAATAATTTTGGTGTCTAATTTTATGTGTTAAGGGTCAGAGAATACCAATAATTGATTATCTTAGTAATGATATAGGTATATATTTTCGCTTTAAAAGTTAATAGGATGTCGTTGGTGAATTGGTAAAAAAAAAAAAAAAAAAAAAAAAAAAAAAAAAAAAAAAAAAAATTGAAAAATGCCTTGTTATTTAAATTACATTAAATTACATACAAGTTTTGGAAATGATATAACACATGCATTTTTATGAACATTTAAGAACAAAATTGACTTGGTATGTACCAATGCTGATATTTATTCGGTGGTTAGTGCTTCATTTCGACATGTAACGCGTTTTTGTCCGCCATCTTGAATCGCCATATTGCATATAAATAAAATATTTTAAATATAATAATAGTGTTGTGACACATAATTTTAAACTATATTTTCATGTTTATTTTAATTATGAAATCCGTTAATTTAATATCCTTTTTTCATTTTGGAGATATATTCAAACGAAATTCTACCCCATACATTTCTAATGAATGTTTCGTACTTTGAACAGTAAAAAAAAATAATTTTTCTACATCTTCAGTTATTATTAACGCTTGCAGTTCGTTCTAGCCTTAAAATATTCATTGATGTAAGGGCTTTCATTTGAGCTATTGGCCATTATAGACCAGCTACGAAGCACAATACAATATTAAATTGACCTTTTTAGAAATAAGTTGTTATTAAAAGATTTATATCTCGGTTTGTTAAGAAGTCACCAAGTTGTTTCTGGTCTCAAACTACTCAGTAAATGTATATGGCTTTAATTTCAATATTCACTAAGTAAAATCTGACGGGGAGCGAGCTGGCGTAGTGGTTAGAGCGCGGGACTTCAGTCCCTGAGGTCCCGGGTTCGATCCCCGCCAAGTCACCAATGGATTTTATCTAAGTGATAATGCCGCAACCCCTAGGTCTAGCCTGAAGTAATGTGAAAAACAATCCCAGGCTCGTGCCTAGCGTCCTTAGGAAAAAAAAAGTAAAATCTGACAAATTTAAAATTAGACTTGGCCTTTTAATTCAAATTAAATAATTTTTATTTTGAAAATTGTTTTGAGTTAAAGAGGATAATCCACAATTCTAAATAAGTAATCCATAGCTAAAATAAGTCAATACTTTGGCGAATCATTTAAGACTATAAAGGATTTTTGAAGTTATTTAAGATTGGGGGTATATGTAGGCCCATTTAACTACAGACAGTTTTCAAAATAAAAGTAATTTAATTTTCAATAAAATTCCATGATTCAATTTAAATTTGTAAAATTTTGTTTAGTGGAGGATAAATTATGTATTTTTATTCAAAGTTATTTTTAATTTTTCAGAGTAATTTTATTTTATTCATATTGGGGATATATGTATTTAACTAAAGACAGTTTTCAAAATACAAATAATTTAATTTTAAATAAAGGTCCATGACTAATTTTGAATTTGTCAAATTTTATTCAGTGATTAATAAAAATTAAAGTGATTAATAACATTAAAATTTGTCCAATGTTGGGAAAAGCCACATTTTTAATAGCCATTTTAGGGGGTTTCTCGTAGACCAATTTTTAACAACTTTTAGTATGTCACACTGCACACCCAACAATAAAAGTAAAACCATAAAACGTTTCATTTAAATTTTATTTAGAGGTCATATCCTATATTTTTCTGACTACTAGTGTAATTGTCTATTATGAAAAATTGAATTTTGGTATGTTTCAAAACCCCTACTTTTTCAGTGTTCCCATGCTCGGATTTTGTCAGATTTTGTATACATTGCCCTGTATGTATGAATGTATGATTCCAATATATGTCTTAAATGTTCTCAAAGCAATTCTTCCCACCTCAAAGTGTATTTTAATCGGACTGGATGTAGGTAGTGTTGCAGCACGGCTAGCGATCCAAGTTGAAGACTAATAACAAATATATCCCATAATATATCTTCAAAGCAATATACAAACTGATATGAGGTTGATAATTGTTCAAAATTTAATGCAGATTCTTTTAAGAGCCACAAAATATGAATGTTCTAATCACCTGAGTTTGTATTTGCAAACATTTAAAGGTAAAAAAAATCTTAGAAATTTGGTATTGTTTCTATTTAAAGCTGTCTCTTTTAAATAAATCAATACTTAAATGGTATAAAGTTATTATTATCTTAAAGTAAACTTAATGATGAAGCTATTAAAACAAACCGCATATTTTTAAGACGATTAGTTGTGAAATTATTGATGTTTTACTAAAAGCTTACATAAATCCAATATGGCGGAAGTTTTCCCCAAAATGGCGGCTTTCCGCCACTTGGATTTTTCTTGATTTTTAGTATAATATTCTTGACACCTTTGTTGACAAAATCCCATATATTTTCGAATATATGGGGAATAATATGGGGAAGAAATATATTTTATTTCTTTTACCTTAATTTTGATGTTGGACCGTATTTTGACTAGCCTAAAGAACAGTGATTTTTCTGAATTCATGAAAACTATAATTTAAAAAGCAGTTCATAAGTCATTCACAGTTCCTGAAGAAGGATAATGCACTGTCCACAGTACAGCACAAGCATCAATTAGGAGAACCGATTGTAAGTTAACTGATTTGATGACTGTGTTCTGTTTTGAATGTTGCACTTATCCTCAGAAACCATGGATTTATAATGTTTTTAGTCAAGTAAATACTTGAAAACATTGTTGATAAGGTAACTTGGCAACAAATTAATGTGGAAATTATTAAAAACTTTTATTGATTTATTATTTTGGATAATTTTCTAATTAAAACATCAAACTAGGCACAAAATGATTATCCTGTCTCTTCTATAGGGAAAGATACAGCAGATATATAGTTTTTAAGCCATCTTGAATATCTCAATTTGCTCAAGGGTGACAAAGTGGCACAATGCCTATTTTAATTATGTAGGTCTTGAAGAAACAGAAACCACTAAAAAACATTGGGTGGACCTTACTTCCAGGTTTTTTGACCTGCAACCAGACTAATAGTGCTGCACCCTGTTAGTAAACCTTTTTAATGCTATTGAATATCATCATAGACAAAAAACTATTTTTCTTTTTCTATGTTATCATAGATGTCGAATCAGCTGACAAAATTATTTAATTCCTTTTAAATGTGAATACCCATAAGGTTAACATGGCAAACTAATGGCAGAGCCACTGGGCGGAGCCTAGGAGTTTTGAGATAACAATATGCCTATATATTAATCGGGAATGTGAGCTATCATCGCCCAAAATTTCAGCCCAATCCGACCAGTATTTTTTGCGTTTACTTGTCACAAACATACATAGGCCTACATCCAAACTTTCTCATTTATAATATTAGTAGGATGAATGCAAGTGGTATGTAAACATTGCAGATACCTTTGAGATGTACACAATAACGCCACTACTGAACTATTTACCGTAATTTCTTGAATTCTTAAAATTGACTGATATTTATTAAAGATACTATTGAATAATACATTTTAAACCAGAAACTTCTTTCAAGAATGCAATGTAGTTGGATATTTACACAAAATATTTAGTATCCATACTTTTCGGCGATTTCACAAAATAGCCTTTCCAGACAAAAAATAACGAGTTTTTTGAAAAAATTATTATTTTTTTTATTCTTATTTATACTTTATATGATTTTGTTTTGTATATTGAGTAAAACTTTTCTAAGGGATATTTTAATCCGTATAAAAACAAAATAAATAAATAAAAATGCCTTTATTTAGCAAGTGTTCTTCATTACACACTGCTTTACAGGATAACTCTTGTCAATTTAATTACTAATACTAAATAAAACTAATAACAGAAAGTACATACTAACGATGTATGATTAACTTCATCTGCAGGCATATAATATAATGTGACTTTCTCTAACTAAAATATTTTATATGTTTTAACATTTAAATTTTTAAATTCATAAATAAATGTTTAATTAGCCTATATGCATTGCATTGTATTTGCCAAAATAGTTTAAGTAAATATTTACACTGAATTATACAACGAAAAGGAACTTTCAGTTAAGACCGAGCTTTGATGAAAAACAACAAACAATACGTGCCCAGAAAGTGGACTGGAACTAACGAATACTAAATATATTCGATTGGATGTGTTCGTCAACGTTGTTCTACCAAATGGAGAATTATGTAAAAGAAATTCTAAATGTTCATTAAGGGTTTAGAAAGTCAAATGTGAATTAGATTTGGTTTATTATAAATATCATTTGTAATATGTGATTCAATGATATGTTATATTAATTGAAGAGGAATATTGATGGGGCTTTAACTTATAACTGAAACATACTTCCTCTTTATTGGTAATTTACCAATCTTAAAATAATTCATACCGATGATTTATACAATCAATAATGTTACTCTTGTATTGTAAACTGCTATACCAGCTGATCATTATTTTAATATGATTGTTTATGTTTTGATTTTACAGTTTTGTTTTTCCGTTTACATCTTAATAAAATGAGTTCATTAAGTTATTCAAATCTATTCTTTATTTAAAACACAACAAATGGCGACGAGTGATGAAAGAAATGATATCAGAAGACTGAAACATAAAAGAGGAGCACTAAAAGGCCAGATTACAAGAACTCTACACCTATTAAAAAGCAAGGGTTCATCAGTCAATGATGCTCCTGGCAGATTAAATGTAGCAGAGGAAGCTTGGCATAAATTCATCTCACTACACGAAGATATTTTACAAATAGAAGATGAAGATGATTTTGAACAAGAAGAAGATTACAGGGCTGATGTAGAAGAGGTATATTTAGAGATAAGAGCATTGTTACAGCCATTCTTTATACCGAACAAATCTACAGATGAACACACAACTTCTATATCAGTTGCACACGATAGCCATGTACCTAACATTAACTTTAAAACATAAACAATCATATTAAAATAATGATCAGCTGGTATAGCATAAACAATAAAGGAAACATCGTTGACTCTATTGTAAAATAAACATTCAGCAGATATCAACGCAAACTAAGCACTACCAACATGAAACAGACTTACAACAGGTTTCGGCAACTCACATTTGGATAAGGACTATTGAAAGTGTAACTTACAGCAGTTATCCTCGTCCTCCCAGTAGCCAGGACAGTCCACCCTAGCATCACACAGCAGAGAGTGGTTCAGGCATGGTCCACTCTTGCACTTGAACTGGTCATCCGCGCACTGCCACGCCTCTGTCACAGGACATTGAAACTATGTAGACTTGCAATACGTATACTGTTTGTATGTCACCGTAAATCACTCCAAGTTTCAACTATAGACAATGTCAAATAAAATTTGTTTTGTCAAACATAAGTAAAAATATAAATGAGAATTGGAAATAAAGTCTAGGAATTATAAGGAACAGCTGCATGTAACAAAATACAGAATCATGCCGAGTGCTGAACTGAATCAAGCACCAAGAGCTGGCGAACTTAAGAAACCCTGAAACTTTTACATATTTCAAAGTTTCTGGTGTTAATTATATTGGGGTTAAATGTTTACTTAAGTGGTTGGTAACACTTAAATCAGTTAGGTAGACACGGTGTTTCTATTACAACAATTAGGATGAGCTGGACATTTGCAATGCACATAAAAAAGCACAATTTATTAAATTAACAAATGAAATGCACAATGAACTACGATGATTTTGATACAAAATATTTGTGACAACAATTACAAGGGGGTAGAATTTCTACTTGTATCAATAGTCAAAGATTCTACACATTGGTTGGATCGATTGTTAGTTTTGGACAAATTTCGGAAGGACATCCAGTTTTATATCCAGACTCTAAAGTGTTCCGTCAGACTGGTTGAGTCGAGAGCTCGGCACACAAGGGCCTCTCACAGCCTGCCACGCTTGATCATGCTTATTCATGGATGAAATTAACAGTGTTGATTATCTTTGGTTAGTTATTGCGGTCAATGATCACAAATAACCTATAAAACTTAAATTATGACCAGTCAGAATTAATTTATTTAAGTAAAAGTGTATTATTAAAGAAAGAAGAAACGCTTCACCAACTTTTAAAACATCCTTATATACTAACTAGCTGTACCCGCGGGCTTCGCCCCGTTTAACTTCATAAGTATTCGGATGGCTCATTCATGTCCTGGTGGAAGTTCGTTCGCTACGCTCACTCACCTTTAGGTTGGAGCTCGTTCGCTGCGCTCACTTGCCTTCAGGTTAGCTCGTTCGCTACGCTAACTCGCCTCCAGGTTGAAGTTCGTTCGCTACGCTCACTCACCTTTTGGTTGGAAATTAGCTGTTGTCGTAAATTAAAAAAAATAATAGTGCTGCACCCTGTTGGTAATCCTTGTAACTTTTATGCTATTGAACTTCATAGAACAGAACCAACTTGTTTAATTGAAACAGCTGTTAAGATTCATTAATTCCTTTTAAATATGGAAAACTAGCAGAGTACCCGTCCTTCGTACGGGGTTGGAATATAAGTATAAAATGCTTATTGCAGTTATACTCAAGCTTTGCGATTGCAATGGGTGGAGGACACAGTTTGATAAAATTAGCTTTTTTAAATTTACAGTATTCTATAGTATTACACATCTACCATAGCCATAATGTTCTACCATTTTACCTAAACAATAGAGAAAAATAAATTATCAATTCGCAAAATATCACAAATTATTCATGAAATGAAAAACATATACATAACTGTAAACATTCCTACTTTGACAGTTCTCATTGCGAATCACAGTTTTTTGTTGCTGCTTAGTTCAAATTTAGCTGTTTTCATAAATGCAAAAAAAAATAGTGCTGCACCCTGTTGGTAAATCTTATAACTTTTTAATGCTTTTCCATATCATAGAACCAACTTTTTTAGTTGAAACAGCTTACTAAATTCTTTAATTCCCTTTAAATATGAATACTCATAAGGTTAACATGGGGAATTACAGAGCCACTGGGGCGGAGCCCGAAAGGATTTTTGAGATAAGAATATGCCTATATGTTAATTGGGAATGTAAGCTATCATCATGCCAAATTTCAGCCCAATCCGTCCAGTGGTTTATGCGTGATTGAACTTCAAACAAACAAACAAACAAACACACAAACTTTCACATTTATAATATTAGTAAGATCATAAGATTAACATGGGGAACCACAGAGCCACTGGGGTGGAGTCCGAAAGGGTTTTTGAGATAAGAATATGCTTTAATGTTAATCGGGAATGTGAGCTATCATCATGCCAAATTTCAGCCCAATCCGTCCAGTAGTTTATGCGTGATTGAGCAACACACACACACACACACACACAAACTCACAAACTTTTAGATTTATAATATTAGTAAGATACGTGAAGGCGATTTCTACGAAACACTACTCCACCGTTAATAATGGGCGAATTTTTACAAACGAGGTGTCAAAATTAAGTATTTGTTGTGTAGACACCCCCTTTCACCAAATCCTGTAATAAAAGTTCTAGGGCTTTGCCCCATAGGCCATCAAAATCCCAATGTATTTCTTATGAAGAAACGATTTTGTATACTTAAACAGACGAATAATTTGTTTAAATTACAGCTGTTTATAGTAAACACATGATACACACAAGAGCGTTCGTTTTCAGAGTGAGTTCGTTTTCAGTTTCAATAAGTGGAGTGGAGTGAGCGTTCGTTTTCAGAGTGAGTTCGTTTCCAGTTTCGGTAACTGGAGTGAAGTGATTGATTACATTATCTTTCAGTTGACTCTTTTAAGTCATCGGAAATAATTGTGACTGTTAATCTTTTTGAAAAAAAATACCGCCTGTAATACTTTGCAATTACTCGAATTCGGGCAACAGGTGCACTAGTATTATTTATAGAAATACTTACATTTTGAGAGGTTTCTGTTTGTGAATTAAAGGGTCAACGAATAGGGGTTGAAGGAGGGCTAGCCAACTGTCAATATTTAATTTTTACTTTTAAGTAAAATCCTGAAATCCTGTTATCTGTTGGTTAATTGAAATATTTGGTATTTTTATTAGCCTGGAATCAGGTTGGTTAACCTTTTTTATTAAATCTAACTGCGTAACTTTCACTCTAACCTCGAAAATTCACTTCTGTAGAAAAGTTTTGATATTGGTGTGATGGCAGAATTAAAATCTTATCATTAAATAACTTGTTTTCAACAGTGCAGATTAATATATTTACTTTACAGTTTCGTTGTAAAAATATATTTGAAAAACCTTGGTTAATCGGCGACGGCATACGAACAAGTTGTCAAAACCCATTACGTGCCCACAACTCCAAAACTTGTTCAATATGAACATAAAAGTTTACAAAACCTAGGTTTTAAATGACAGAGTACTTTGCGACGGCATTGAATTGTCGGTCTTATGTAATCTGTCTGGGAGAGAACGAGAAATTTTAGTTCAGTTATTGAAAAACAAACTTTGAGCAGTTCGAAAAGTTTGGTTGGGTTAGGTTAGGTTAAATCAGTGTCATCTAAACTAACCGAACCTAATCAGCCAAATTTCTCGAACAGCTTAAAATTTACAGTAGTTATTCTACTATTTTTGTGTGTTTTCTCCAAATTTAGCGTGTGATCAAAAAACTTTTCTAAATATTGTGTTTTCATGATTCACTACCTATAAAGGGTTGCAATAAGCTATATAAGTTATGGAAAAATAGAGTTGTGGGCACGTAACAGATTTTGACCGAAAAAGTTATGGAAAATATAAACCAACAATCATCCATACCCAACCTATTGCACCCCAGTGAAGCTTGGCTCCAGTGCTTATAACGTAAATGTCAAAGAATCGATCCATATATAGATTTTTCTCTGACAAAAATGTATCAGACCAAGATATTTAAGTTATATTTTTAAAGACTTATTTAACTTATTTAACAGATTTTGCCACTATATTTTATTTTCAACATATAAACGAAATTGTGTCTTAACCAAGGTGTTGTAAACTTACAAACAAAGAAATACCGCGTCTCATCTCATTGACCCGCTAGGGCATCATTTGCCAGAGTGTTTGTTTTCAGAGCATTTAGAGAAGTGTGTGGCTCTCTTAACCTAACAGCACTTTCCGTTCTTCAGCTAAGTATCTTCTAACTTTACGTCACCATATTAATGTCACGTTATCACAAAAATATATTTATTTTTGAAAGAATTTAATTTTGAACTTAATTAAAACTTAATCCTTGTGAATAAGGATTTTTTTACTAAAAATAATGCGTACCGTAATAGCTATCTACGGTAGAACTATCAGTTGGTTGGTACAAAATACTGGTTCTTAGAGACAAGTTATATTTCGCCTTCTTAAAAAAATATGTTGTTGATCGATGGGTAATTACCTGATTTGAGTATATAAAAAAACTAAAAAATACAATTCTATCCTCAAATTGTCTTTGGATTATCTTATTACACATAATGTAAACACAATCTATGACTACATACATATAGAACTACACATTCCATTCCCCCTGCTTAGTTTGTAGCCAGTTTTACAGCAAAAATGAGCTTAGTTAGATTGAGTACGTAAATGTAAATTACTAATTCCTCTCGAATAAGCCAACTTTTCAACAAAGCCAAAATAAAATAAAATCTTTCCGTTACATCAACTAGGTACCGTAGTAAGAAAAAATAATAGAGATAGTATAATAGGATAAAACACCTTGGTTCTTACTTCTTTAGGTCTGCAACACACTCTGTGAGTTACTCATTCACCACCGTTCATATTGCAAGTAATTAGGCTACAGCTAACCCATATAGATGGAATGTCTACTCCAGTATCCAAAAGTAAAACAAAAGCTGTCACAATTTGAGATTTTGATGCATAGTACATAATTTGATTGACTTAAAATAAATTAACATAACACACATTACAATTACATAATCCTACTACTTAATTGTATATTTACCGCAATGTCGCAGGTTTGACATGTCAGCACAGCCCGACCTAGCAGTACCAGACTCTACACACCTCAGCTGAACAGAGACACATTGGCCTGAGTCACATCTGTATTGGTCTCTGTGACACTCCACTGGCTCTGGTGACACAAACATGTATGTGGTTACTTTTACATTGTAGTTCATGTAGTGTCACAGCCTGACCTAGCAGTGCCAGACTCTACACACCTCAGCTGAACAGAGACACATTGGCCTGAGTCACATCTGTATTGGTCTCTGTGACACTCTACTGGCTCTGGTGACACAAACATGTATGTGGTTATTTTTACATTGTAGTTCATGTAGTGTCACAGCCTGACCTAGCAGTGCCAGACTCTACACACCTCAGCTGAACAGAGACACAATGGCCTGAGTCATATCTGTATTGGTCTCTGTGACACTCCACTGGCTCTGGTGACACAAAAATGTGTGTGGTTATTTTTACATTGTAGTTAATGTAGTGTCACAGCCTGACCTAGCATTGCCAGACTCTACACACCTCAGCTGAACAGAGACACACTGGCCTGAGTCAAATCTGTATTGATCTCTGTGACACTCCACTGTCTCTGGTGACACAAACATGTATGTGGCTACTTTTAAATTGTAGTTAATGTAGTGTCACAGCCTGACCTAGCATTGCCAGACTCTACACACCTCAGCTGAACAACAGAGACACACTGGCCTGAGTCACATCTGTATTGGTCTCTGTGACACTCCACTGTCTCTGGTGACACACACATGATATTAGGTGTATATGTGGTTACTTGCACATTATAATTACTATAGTGTCACAACCAATTATGTTTAAGACCAATAATGATTGATTTTGATTATATTGATTGAATTTTACTTAATTAAAAAGGTAAATTCAATATATACTTTGATTAAATATTTTTTTTAGAAAGAACTGATAAATGTAAACAAAGAAAAGTAAACAGAGTATTAACAATCAATACAACATATGATTTTATACACAGATGGCAGGAAGTATGTATAGGATATTAGGCCTACTTGTAACAAAGATATTATGAGTGAAACCATAAATCATTACAATCATGTAACTTTGTCACATCATTTCAAAGTGTAAATAACATATTCATCTAGATACCATATATGCAACAGGATGTTTTATGACTGTCAGTCACCTTGAAAATGTCATCATGTCACCTCTCAACCTTCTATTTGCGACATGAATATTTAGCAGTTAAACGTTCCATACATTCTAAATGAAACCAAAGGCAAAACATTTGTTTTTTTATAGGTTACTGAAGCAAATCATTTGGCTTGAAATGTTTAAAACAAAACATTTAATTGAAATTTATAACTAACTTATACATTTCGAGCCACGGAAAGTATATTAAAATCGAAGTGATATAAAAAAAAAACTATTCCGAAAAGGTAAATAAATACATTTTAAACTGAAATTATCAATTGAGAACTGATTGCTACGTGTATGCAAACCTTTTCTAATTTCATTTAGTATTCATGTAACTTGAAATTAAATAAATTACCACAAGTTCAACCTCTGACTTCATAATCTTGATTTATATTTTTCGTTTGTATAGTAAGAACAATAATTACTGCAGATATTCATATTCTCATAGATTGAAAACATTCAATTCTTACGTGTCCCTAATCACGGATGTAAAACACAGTCAAATGCCTTTCAAAATCATTAATTGTGAACAAAATTATACTAAGGCTCTGGACCTCAGTGGCTATCACTCACCACAGTGGCGCTCGTCGGAGCCGTCCGGACAGTCTGTGTAGTGATCACACCAGAGATGTGACGACAAACATTGACCCCCTGAGTGACACTTGGTCATGCCAACACTGCATTTGAACTCATCTACAAGACAAACCAAGTGTCAGTGATTCGCCAACGTAAATAGAAAGTAAAACACTTAACTTTAAAGAAATTATCCATTTTAAATACAATTTGTTGTCCAACCAATCAACCTAAACAGCAGGGTATGTTATTATTTATGTGATAATAATAGGTAGGTTAGGTTATACTGTATAGGGTAGGCAGATAACTGTAGACTAGTGTAGACATTTAGGTAATTTGAAAACGGGAGGAGTTTCTTGTTTCCCGAAACGTTGTGGAATCAAAACAGTTAGCGTAGAAAAAGTACGTATTAAACTTAAGGTAGCTACGGTTCACAATTAACTTGAAAATATAGTATGTTAGATATGTTTAGTAAGCATGATTTCCTCACGGTTATATTGTGCAGTTTTACACGCCTCAACTAAGAGTTTTTTTATTCAATTAATAACTCATATCCGAAATGTACGAACATAATTAGAACACATTCCATAAACGTAACCTAAAATGTAACTGCGGTGTTTGAAATAAAATCGAAGATGTGAATCCTAACATCTGAAGTATCACAGCAGTAGAACATTATAAGTACCATAAACCTAAATACATCGATGTCATAAACAATTTGAATAGTTACATTTTCTACTTTCATTTTAATAGCTGTAAATTTCAACGGTAAAATTAATAAATTCGTGTTTACATGAAGTGTTTCAACCTACTTACACTTGTCTGTAGAAATAAGGAAGTGTATGCTTTTTGCCAGAATTCCATGTTTTAGTAACGACGCGTTTTAATATAATCCATTCTAAGTCATACCTTACAATTTTTGGTTATAAGAAACCGCTATCTTTAAACGCTTCTTAGGCTAAAGTAAATACAAATGCAATCCCAGTACCGGTAAGACACCAGCGGCATCGTATTTTCAAATATTTCAAGGGTAAATCACATGGTGTTAGGTTACATTTTTTGTTTTATGAACTTTTTCGTAGAGCTGTTTTATTATCAATATGATTAGTTCACAGGTACATAAAAGTTGTTTAATTACATGTTCTCTTTGAGATTTGACATCTTTGAAAGGCCTAGTCGGAAGGATATTAAAATCCCTTCAACCTGAAGAGATTGTAAAGAGCGAAAGGAACCAATCAATCACAAAAGACTTTCACAGCGAAATGAAATATATAAAATCAGGTTTATCAACGTTATTTTCGGCTGGGTACATTCAAACCTTTTGAGTCAAATGACAGGTTTTCTCTCCCTATTCATAATTACGTTCGATTCTTCTTTTTAGGAACAAACAATAATATCTCATATTATAATTGATCATAGGTTTACGTCAAAATCATTTCGCGTCAAAATTCCCAAATAAAAACAGATTGATTTTTTAGATTTTGTTTTTGCCTGAAGTGAGAAAAGCAGGTGCAATTAAGACGATTAATGGTTTTAGCTATTGTATTTCTAAGGCGTCAGGAGAAATACAATATCCTGTTCTTCAACTTGTTCTGTTATTCTTTTTCTCGAAGGTTATACAATGTAATATTATAATTTTAGTATCTACTAAAAAAGTCGTAATGTGTTCTTTCTGTACTATCTAAATTGTGTAATAATCTAGGTAGGGTTCTTCTGTTTGATCATTGAGTTTTAATGATATTAGTTCAAATAAAGACAGATACTAAAATATACTAATGATTAGCATTATTGTAATGTACTTACCACAGTTTATTTCATCAGACTTGTCAAGACAATCGATGTGGATGTCACAGCGAGAGAGGCGACTAATACATTGGCCACTGGTACATTGGAACTCCTCTTTGCCACACACAGGCTCTGTGGTAACATAGCATTACAATGAATATGTTAAATATCACAGATAATAATCTCAACAGTTGTGTGTGGTAGTTGACTGTTTAACATTTACAGCGCTAGGAGACTAAATACATTGGCTGCTGGTACATTTAAACTCCTCATTGCCACACACAGGCTCTGTGGCAACATAGCATTACAATGAATATGTTAAATATCACAGATAATAATCTCAACAGTTTTGTGTGGTAGTTGACTGTTTAACATTTACAGCGCTAGGAGACTAAATACATTGGCTGCTGGTACATTTAAACTCCTCCTTGCCACACACAGGCTCTGTGGCAACATAGCATTACAATGAATATGTTAAATATCACAGATAATAATCTCAACAGTTTTGTGTGGTAGTTGACTGTTTAACATTTACAGCGCTAGGTGACTAAATACATTGGCTGCTGGTACATTTAAACTCCTCCTTGCCACACACAGGCTCTGTGGCAACATAGCATTACAATGAATATGTTAAATATCGCACATAAAAATCTCAACAGTTTTGTGTGGTAGTTGACTGTTTAACATTTACAGCGCTAGGTGACTAAATACATTGGCTGCTGGTACATTTAAACTCCTCCTTGCCACACACAGGCTCTGTGGCAACATAGCATTACAATGTATATGATAAATATCACAGATAATAATCTCAACAGTTTTTGTGGTAGTTAACTGTTTAACATTTATAGCGAGAGAGGTGACTAAATACATTGGCTTCTGGTACATTGACAATCTTTACCACACACAGGCTCTGTGGTAACATACGACGCAGATAATAATGCAACTCCATAATGCATCTTATTTGCGCAAAGACAGGTTCAGAAATTATTTTTTTTACAAATATTAATAATAATAATAGAATCAGTAAACCTTTGCAACTAAAAAGTCGATTAAAAGTTTTAACATAGTTCTGCAAAAAGACACGGGTCAATAGTTCATTTGTCTACAGAATTCCATTGTAAATAATATGGTTAGTACCAAGAAGTATATTAAACCGGTAAGCATTATCATTATAAGCTATTTTTCAACTATTTATATGCAATATTGATAAATTAATCATAAAATATAGCAGTATGATTTATCTATGATTTCACTCACTGTGGCAGTTGTCCTCGTCATCTCCATGGAGACAGTCGAACTTGAAGTCACATCTTAAATAAGCAGGAAGAGTTCTGTTGTCCTTGCAAGTAAACATCTTCTCATCTGGGCCTTTTCCTTTGATATCTTCAAACATACGAACGCTATTATTAACAGTCTGCAATAGAATCATGCATTTTCTCTTAAATAATGGAGCTTGTGACTCTATAGACATTCGAAGATTATTTTTATTATGACAGTAATCAGTTTAACTCCTTTTTAACATACAAATGGAACAAGTCATTATTATTTAATGACTTGTTCCTTCACTGATTTTATTAAACTGAAACTGATTTTATTAATCAGTAACATTAATTTATAATTTAAAACACGATTGTTGCTCTTTAGACAATGCTTTGTCACAAAATGGAATTCAGTGCAATATAAAACTTGCTTTAGAAGATCGATACAATTTATTACCCCCCATTGAGCACCAAAGAAGTCCAATATCTATCTCTAAGAGAAAATCTTTTTGGTGGAGCAACACTGGTTTTCTAGATTAATCAAGCTCTTCCACAAACATCACTGGTTACCTCTTTTCTACTCATATCTGGACATTCATTTGTGCGCCATTATATGTATCAAAGTAAGATAAAGTTTTAAATTAAGAATTTATCAAATATATTATTAACTGTTTTTTAGTATTGTGTACAATTTTACTTAAATGATTAATTAAAAGTAACAAAAGTAGATCATACTGCATTAGTGAGCATCGAACGTTAAATTTACACAGAATATTTGTGCTAATTAAGTTTGTTGGGAAATTTCTACCTCTTCGTATCTTTATTTCTATATATCTTTTTGAAAACCTAAACATTTTTAAATAGTTATTTGTGCAACTAGTGAGAAAAGTGAGCAGTTGACTCACTCGAGAGAAATCCTTACTTACGAGCCGTAGGCGAGTGAGGAATGGTTTCTCGAGTGAGGCAATTGTACTTTGAACTCGAGTTACCATAAGTTACTCCTTCAGTTACCATAAAACAAATAAATTGGTGAAGAAACATAACCTATTTTTACACAGAAGTAAACTTTTAATATAAAATTTAATGTGAAGTGACAAATACAACAGTACAACAGTTGACCAGCTGATTTACAGCCAGTGCTGCCAACGTATTTCGCGCGCATATGTTATTTCATGCGCACGTGTTGCCTGCATGTTACGCGCTCACTATTTCGCTCACTATGAAATTTCTCAAATCAGTGAGAGAACATGTACATTGTTAGGTAACTGTATGAAAAATATAATTTCAAAATCCCACTTCAAATTTAGAGCAAGTAGTGGATATTGAGTCATTTATAAAGGAGCCTCAAATTAGGCTGAGAGCACATTACGCCATTCTATGGGATGTGGGCTTTCCATGGGACAATTTTACGACACTCAAACTATAAACTACATAACTTTGACAAAATCTAGGCTTAATCGTAACAACGAGCGAGTATACCTGAAGGGTTATACTACGTTTATTATCTATAACAGCATCAATCACTGTGAAGGACTGTAGAGTACAAAGATGTCATGTTATCAGTGACAGGTAGCCAGCACTCGTCATGTAAGTGTAGTCGCCTCGAGTCCATCCTTCATGTCAAACGGAGCTAATATGTCTTGTGATTTGGCTGACATTTACCGTAACCCTTCACCATTTCTATTTCAAATTGTTGCCTGTCAGTATGCAATCCTTAACTATAATACGCATTAATCGTGTATCACTATTATCGAAGATGAAATTTACAATTTTATTCAAAAGAAGGGCATTATCTTGTCCTATTGATAACAATATATGTACAAATTTCACAAATGAGCAAACTTAACAACAACAATAAAAATATGTCAGAATCAAAAATATGTGAAAATGTGTTAAATATGTGATCAAATATGTGTATAGAATTCCAACAAATTGATTGAGTTAATATTATAAAAGTTAAATCTAAACTGATTATTACTATAACGGTGTTAGAGGCAAGGAGTGAATTTATATGTAAGGCGGGTGAATTATAGCCTCTGCAGCCTCTCGTCATAATAGTCATCAGCCACTCACAGACCTGACATTTAATTCCTCAATTGAATACTCTGGAAGACCACTACTTAGACGTACTGAGTAACCTAGGATTCATCCCGTGCATAGATAAAGTAAAACGGCCGATAAGTAACACGTTTATCGATCGATCTATACTTGGTCAAACTTCCGCCTAACTTTACAGCCAACTCAACCGTTCTTCAGACCTCAATCACGGAGCACTTAAGTTCTGTCTTGAAGTTCAAAGTACAGCAACAACCAATCCGGGAATAAATAACAATGCCCAAATAATAATTAACTAGAAACAAATTTGACAATATTTCCTTGTATAGAACTAGGATCAAATCTATACATCAATCAATACCACCGCAAAAACCTTTAAAGACATACTTATTTTCACAGTACGTATATTCATAAAATTTCGCTTTCATTAAAACGTTTAAGGTAAAACCGTGGATAACAAACGGCCACATAAAATCAATACGTAATCGGGAGAAATTGAGTAGACTAACTAATTGACATCCATTCAATACTAGATTGCGCACACTTTATGTTGGATACATAATATATTAAAATCCGCTGTTGAACTAAGGCTGACCTACGCGACGACGCACTACAGGCTGGCAGTCCCTTGAGGGTCGACGATGATACTCCGCCAACACAGAGACCTCACTGTCATTCTTGAAGATATCTCGGAGTATTGACCATCATCAAACACTGTCTGTTATCGAATACCTTGCAAATCAATATAAATGATTGAGATTCATTTATGTTTCATTTACAATTCCCACTAAAACATAATATATAAAGGAAGCTATATAATTGGAAAAAGTGAACACGTTCAACCCGCCAGCAACCCAATGGATATGGAGGTGAACTATACGTACATTTATAATGTTTGTAGAATGCTAATTCTTTGTTTAGCAATTACATGAATATTTAAGTCTCGGGTATGAGTTAATTAACAGTAACGTCGGAAGATTTAATTAAGTGAGGTAGTAGAAATACGTACTCAATTTTAAATTCCACCCTCCTTCTCCAGTAACCACTACAAATAAGAAAAAGACACTCCTTAAATTTAGAATATACTTAGACATTGTTTATTCGGGTTTATTAAATTGTAATCCAGTTTCACTGTATTGTATATTGTTGACAGCTCTCGTATCATAAACATGTTAATTGCAGACTTACCACAGCCAAACTCGTCGGAGAGGTAGTACCCGGTCTGACAATCGTTGTGCCCATCACATAGGAACTGCTGGGCGATGCAGCGCTCCTTGCCCGGCTCTCTGGGCTGCTCCGGGGGCACCGGGCACGCCAGGGACTCTCCCAGCATGCATGTTGCTAGTCCTTCTACAATTTAAACAAACACTCATATGTACACACGAATACACAAATGCTTTTAATTTAAGTAGGATTTTAAAGTCAACAAGAAATCCTGTGAAAACTAGAATTGACTAAGGTAAGTCAAAATATGATAAAGTTATGTGTGGATTTAAGCCAAGTATTTTACGAAGCTTTTTAACTTATAGATCGGATTTTGTTACCTATTAGGCCTAACTAACCTAAGAGTGGAGATAAATTCGTTTGGAAAGATCTATTTTTGACAAACTCCATTCAAACAGCAAAATTATATATACTATAGGGCCTACGCACACATAACAAGGCACAAAAATACGAAAATAAAAAAAATCTATTTATTTCATTGCCAGAAAAATAACAAAACAAAACAGAACACCAAACCACAAATGTATCTTTTTCAGCGTATGAGGTAAATCAGGAAACCCACTTATCCGAAGCTCTCCGCTCCGATCAGTTTCGATCCGACACCTGTCCTTCCGACGACATTGCTCACCGGGTCAGACGTCGGATCCGATTTTTATCCAGTCTGCGTGCACAAGGTAGGCCTTGTGAACTTTTGAATGAAGCAGTTGGGACCATCCCTGTCATAGGCTATAAAAAGAGCTTGAACATGTTCCGATGCTTTCTGAATTCAGTGATGGAAGTTCTATGGATTTCAGTGGTGATTGGTTCTTAAATAAAGAACCAATTACTATAGCAAAAGAGTATGCAAACAAAGAACCATCGGATGGACAAATAACGACCCCTTTTACTACTCCAGCAGCCAAAATTTACAAAAACCCTAAAACATCTGAAATAAATCTCGTCTGTTACTGAGGGAGCCCGTCAGACCAATGTGTTATTGCCTTAAAAGTGTGGAAGACGTCGGATCCAGTTGGAGACTGAATGGAACAGATTGAATCGGAGAGCGTCTGACTAGTGGGTTTCCTGCTGCCGGGAGAGGAAATATCATACTTATTGCATGGATTTTAATAACCTAAATATATCCTACCTCCTTGCGGACTACGTCTATAAGAATCGATATAGCCTATGTACTAGAGGGGGAACAATACAATATGTGAGGAATTAAACATTTAATTAAGGGGCCCATTTAGGGAGGGAAGTTTAAGGGGGGGGAATTGGAGCAAGAGGAATCCGGGTCCTTAGAGCAGTAAACAATTCTCCTTTATCACAACCATCTGTTGATATTTTCCTGGCCTTGATTGTACCAGTGGTTGTTACTGCACCGATACAAATGCGTACTAGTGCAGTTAACTTACTAATAGTAAGTGAGCTCACCATGGTGTAGAGTGTAATACAAGTCACAATCAAGCTCATCCACACAGGTGACGTCATCAGTAGTGTTTGGAGCACAGTCACACTGAGAGTCGCACAGATTGGCGAGTCTGATGCAGCGACCGTTGGGACACTGGAACTCGTAGCTAGCGTTGCACTCATGGCCTGTAAGTGGGATTGAAAACATGAGTAAATATTTGATAACTAATCAAATAACCAGTGAAAAACAAAAACACTAAATACGAATCAAAATGTTACCTTACCTTGATAGTGTATAATCTTAAAACAACTTTGTTTTCTCAAATAGCATAGCAAGACTCTTTAATGATATTAACATTATTGACAAAATGCGCAGGTGAAGTGTTATGACTTCAAGAAATCCAGTTCCATGACTATGTATGTAGCCTAAGCAATTGAGAGTACCAAGTCTGGCATACTAAGCTAATTTTCTCACAAGGTTTAAGTGTGAGGTACGATGGTGTCTAGGGAGAGAAAGAGGAGGGGCCTTTATTGAGCCTTTACTCTTTAATTTGTCTTCATCTGTATTTCCCTCTTTTATAACCAAACATCACACCATGCCAACACATTATTACATGCGGATGATTATGTAACGACAACATGCATTTCATTTGTATTTTTAAATGATATATTTGTTTTACTTTTGACAAGTTTTAGCGAATTTCCCTATAGGGAAGTAGCTATTACCGTAGGTGGCACGGTAAGACCTAGACCCGGGACCGATTTACTTTTTCATTTTGATGTCCCCAGAGGCCAAAAACACCATTCGTTCAAATTTTTATATATGTATATATATATATATAGACTTATATATATATATATATATATATATATATATATATATATATATATATATATATATATATATATATATATATATATATATATATACGTCCGTGAACGCGATAACTTGAGTAATTTTTGTCCGATTTTGATGAAATTTAGTTTAAAGGTGTAAAGCGGGATAAACTTGAATGAGTTCGCGAACCAGCACGATCGGACCATGGGAACGGGGCTTTACAAGGGGTTTTATGGGGTAAAAATTGGTTTTTCTCACTTTTGACCCTCAAAACACAAAATTTCCCGATTTCTCTTTAGACCTTTTTAAAGAGCTTAAAAAAACAAATAATTTAGTATGTAAAAGTATTTTTGTTCGATTGTTAGTAACGGAGAAAATTAAAAAAATTGGAAATTTAAAATTCCCATGTTATTCTTATGGAGAATATTGTCAAATGTTGTAGTTTGCTTGTTTATGGATATATTTTGATCAAACTTGGCAAATTTATTTATTTTGTACTAAGCTATCAATATTTTACTCAAAAACACACTTTATTAGTTTCCTTGTAGCAGCAAACCTAGGTACTCGTTAAACCTAATGTTATTAAAATATATTTAACTGAAAATCAATTCAGACAAATGGAAATTCGCTTAGTCGGCAGGTTTGCTGCGGCGGGGGTATTTTAAACCATTTGAGGAGGGGAAACGCTTGTGAAATGAAATGTTTTATTTATTTACAAATCTTAAACACCAGCAGAATTTAACAAGCTATATATTTTCTTTGAAATGTCTTTGATTCATTCTCAGGCTCCTTAACAGTATTATATTCGAATTAGGTATTGTATAACCTATAATCATTTATTCGTATTTTTATCATACTAAATATACCAGTATCGCAAAGAGTTGTAATTAAAGCCAGCTTTATTAAAAAAATAACCACCCACACTCGACTAGAAATAAGGCACAAAAGATGAAGAAAAGCTTTGTTCTCTCAATCAGACCTCATTTCTCTTGGACAATCCACATTCTATTGTGTCACTTGCCTCAAAGAATGAAATTATTAAAAATTCATCTCAATTCAATAGTATGATTTATTGTTAACTATGAACATATTAGCCCTTAACACCACCAAAAAATACAATAAAACGAATATAGGAAATCATATTACATATGTTGAACAGTGTGCATGGTTTTGATGTTTTCAATTTTTTTTGCAGTATTTTTGTTTGCAATTTGTTTGCACTATTATTGTTTTTGTGTTTGATATGTTCAATTTAACTGAACGTTTTATTAAATATAATAGTATAGATGTAAATGTTTATTTTTAACTTAGAGTAAACTACTACACTTACTTCATTGCTTTACTATTATTGTAAGTGGTGCCAGCTTCTTCTCATATGGTCAAAACAGTTTAACTTCTCCTTTTTACTTCCATCCTCATTGTAAATGTGTGTACATGTGTGTTTGAATATACAGGGTGACAAAAAAGTCTGGAAACGGCTTAATATTTTTTTAACTAAATCCATTAGAAAAATCAAACCTTACACATCAACTTGCATGTATAAAAACTATTTTTTCCAAGTATTTTCTTGTTTTTACTTCTACCAGGGGACGACCCATGAGGAGTAGGTACATAATCTTTAATGTAAGCATAGGTTGATATGTACATCATTTTAAAGGTCTGGTCAAGTGGAGTTCATTGCCAGAAACCGCGTCTCAAAAGGTTCATCCGTTACAAAATGGCGGCTGTTCAAAGTTCTTGTGAAATATACCTTTACAGGCCTTAGTATTGGTAAATACTCGTATTAAACATTATCTTGAGAGCTGAAATCACATTTTAAAGTCAACTAGCTCATAGACTAAGTTTATTCAATCTTTAAAATAAATTTAACCGGGTTTCAGATTTTCCGGCTAATTCTAACTATGAGTATAAGGCCTGTGCACTGTGCAGGTATATTCTGCAAGAACTTTGAAATGCCGCCATTTTGTAACGGATGAACCTTTTTTGACGCGGTTTCCGGCAATGAACTTCACTTGACCAGACCTTTAAATGATGTGCATATCAACCTATGCTTACACTAAAGATTATGTACCTACTCCTCATGGGCCGTCCCCTGGTGAAGGAAAAAAATGGTAATGCTTGCAAAAAGTAGTTTTCATACATATAAGTTGATGTGAAAGGTTTGACTTTTCTAACGAATTTAGTCAAAAAGATATCAAGCCGTTTCCAGACTTTTTTGTCACCCTGTATATATTTAAATGTGAATAGGGGTTAGAATATTAGAAATTTAATTTTCTTACAGTTATTAGACAAATCAGGCCTTGCACTGATTGTAGCACGCAAAGTAGCTATTTGCTACATTTACTTACTTTTGCCGCACTCATTTTACTTTGTCACACTCATTAAATGATTTTATAAGGCGCGTATACGTGTACGGCACTTAAAGATGCAACGACTACGATCAGTTGGTGCAGCGTTTCACAGCCTTACAGTATTGATACTACGACTAACCTGTTGTTTCGTGTTAAGATTCTATTTCCGTTCAATGCTTGGATTTAACCTAATCTATAACGTGTTTTTCAGTGTTTGTAAGACTAATTATTTTATGCTTTATAGTAACTGTAGGAAAACATTATGTGTATCGCGAGCGCTAAGTGCCTTAGTGCACTAGTTACACAAATGTGCCACCTATTTTTTATAATAACCCGTGTATAATGTGTTACCACAATTTGTTCTATATTATTGAAGGGGAATATAAATCGGGCCTTAAAAGTTTGGCTGATAATAAATGCACTTACTTTAAACCGATTACTTTAAACCTGAAACGGGTTAGAATACACTAAAATTCAATTAGACATTAAATACGTAAGTTTTTTCCAAATTCCAATATGATTTATCCAACTAGAACCAACCAAACATTCTTTACAGGATCTTCTCTTGGCTTATTAAGTTATTACTAGAAAGATAGAAAGAAAAGAAAAAAAGTGCTTTATTATTCGCCAAATACATTCACAATACTAAGTGGAAATAGAGGTTATTTGGGAACGTTTTTGGGGTTGTTATTTAGTAAAAACATAATAAATAATGGTTATGAAACCGTCTGTTGTGGTTGGCACAATACAATATTATTATAGTAAAAATAACTTCAGTTATTACCAATGATGGTATAATTAATTTTACGTATTTTCGTTTCAGGATGAAGAATATATTAATAATCCCCATTGATATATTAATCAATATCAAGCTGGACAGTATTTCTTACATAACTGGATCCTTTACTTACTATTTTCTGTTTTCTAGATATTTTTCTAAAGTTTAAGTGTTTTTAATATTCTCATACTATATGGAGTCCCCAGCACGTCAACTCTGTTGTCATGGCAACAGTAACCCAGTCCCTGTCCCGTACAAGCCTCGTGAAATGTGATAGCTTTTATTTCAAAGCTGGTGTGGTTTTAATTAAAATGAACCTTTATGTCTAGATATTGAAAGGTTGCCAGAGAGTTCAGTAGTTGTATTTATAAGAATGTTCAATTACCTTTAATCGCTTGTCAACAGTTTGGTTAATTTTAGCAAATTTCTTTATAGGGAAGTAATCTTTATTTTACCATGGTTTTCCAAAGCCATTCTTACTTATATTACTTGGCACATTTGGCATCCTTTCGTAGGATGACTTTTAAAAATTTAATCATATTTGTGAAACTCGTTCACGCAGTTAATTTTAAATCAAGTTAAAATTCCTAATTTTATAAACTATGATTGAATAATAAACCTAGAGACAAACTAGAAATTAAACTAAACGCTCTTACAGTTGATCTCGTCCAAATGTGTATGAGTACAGTCAGGCCAGTGGTCACACCAGTAGTAGCGATGCACTCTGTTGCCATCACCACAGTCTACGAAATTATCTGCAACATACACACACAAGTACAGTCAGGCCAGTGGTCACACCAGTAGTAGCGATGCACTCTGTTGCCATCACCACAGTCTACGAAATTATCTGCAACATACACACAAGTACAGTCAGGCCAGTGGTCACACCAGTAGTAGCGATGCACTCTGTTGCCATCACCACAGTCTACGAAATTATCTGCAACATACACACACAAGTACAGTCAGGCCAGTGGTCACACCAGTAGTAGCAATGCACTCTGTTGCCATCACCACAGTCTACGAAATTATCTGCAACATACACACACAAGTACAGTCAGGCCAGTGGTCACACCAGTAGTAGCGATGCACTCTGTTGCCATCACCACAGTCTACGAAATTATCTGCAACATACACACACAAGTACAGTCAGGCCAGTG